GTTTGTTAGCTTTGAGAGTGAATGTGTGCTCCAATGGTGTAATTAGATGTATGTTAAAGTATGTGTTATGTATGAGAAGGTTCCACGTAAAATATTTAGGCCTATTTTGGAAAGTGGGTTATAATCCACTACCCATATTATAACTCACTTCCTCTCTCACAAAAAAACTGCTTATAAGCAGTTTTTCACCAAAAAGTTTATTATAGAGCTTGTTTAGGAAGAAGATTTGGGCTAAAATAACTATATAAAACAAAATAGGTTATTTTAACAAAATATGATAAAATGCCACATCCAACTCATAATCATTTCATATTTTCTCTAAAAAAAGTCAAAAAAGCCAAGTAGTCTATTCTAAACGAGATTTTTTAGCTCCAGGCTAAAATAACCAAAAAGCCAAAAAATCAACCCACATCCCCAACGAGCACATAAAATAATTAAAGTGTGTTATCTATCTACACTGTTATTAAAGGTGAATAACGCATCACTTGGTATCCCAACCTTCACGTCATGTCACATGACAGTTTTTTCAATTTAAAATAAAAAGTTACAAATAGAGGTAGAGAATGTTTAAACCCAAAATTTTATAGACAAAGGTAAAAAAGATTTAAATCCCAGACCTTGAGTTTTATTAAAGACACTATTACCACTTGAATAACATACATATTATAATAATAATTTATTTATTATTTATTTTTATTTTTATTTATTTAAATTGTATAAGGGGTGGTTTGGAATGATCTAAATAAGTGTACTTTTTGACTTTTTATAAAATATGAATTGGATTTGAAGTGATGTGATAGAGAGATAATATGACTTAAATAAGATGATGCAACTTAAATAGAATAGTAACTTTTTAACTTTTCAATTTTTTGATTTTTTTAAACAATTTTGCTACAGACCCCCACTGGGGGTCGACCCCAGCCCCCCATTCGTCCAAATCACAAAAAAAAAAAAAAAAAAACAGTTTTTTTTTTTTGACCAATGAAAAACCTCCATTCATGACCCTCAGTGGGGGTCTGAGGCATTTTCTTTTTTTAAATTATGACAAATAAGACTTATGTATCGTGTGTCAGTCATTAATGTATTACAAAAGATACAAATCTAGGTGGCAATGTCCAACCATCAACCCCCTTTTTCTCTCTTTTATCTCTCCTACGTTGCTAGTGTACTCCCCACGGTTAACATATGACTTAGTGAGAAGTTAGATGTGCAATGTACATAGCTAGCCACAGCCAACCCATTGGACCAAAATACAAAAATATAAGTTAGTTAATTGTTATTGTCTGACACTACCAATGCGTTTAACAAATCTATTGGAGATGCTCTTAACGTTTTTGAAGAGGAAATACAAGAATGTGGAGACGGTGAGACAAACTGGAGAATGCATGAGTTGGCAATGGAGGGTGTGGCCAGGGCGGCCCTAAATCCTATAGGGTTCTAGGCGAAGTTTTAAGAAAGACCCTTACACATATTTATCAAATAAAAATTTTGAATAATATAATAAATAATAACAATGTACAAGTTATTATTTGTGAGTATCAATACAAAAATTTACTTATATAGATTAATATAGGAAGAAATCATTACAGGAATTCAAAATGGCAAAATTCAGTTTACAATAAAGAAAAAATATAAAGCTATAATACCAAATAAAAATTGAAAAAAGTGAAGCAGGCTGGAGTATTTTTTTTTTTAATTTTAATTTTAATTTTTTTTTTTTCAATTAAGCTAACTTTTTTTTTATTTGTTTTTAATGTTGGCCTATAACATATTTGTGTTTGGGCCTTTTTTTAGTGGACCTTTTCGATTTGGAGGGCCTCTAACAATAATTGGGTCTTTTTTAAAACTTAATGATATAAAAGATTTTCAAAATTTGGGACTTTATTTTGGGCGAAAATTTGGGAGTCATAGGTGCAGGTTTCACTAGCCTTAGCCCAAGGTTAGCCCTGTGTGTGGCAATGGTCAATTTGTAAGATTTTGTGTTTTCAATTTGTTTAAATATTTTGATTGTATTTTCAATTAAAAAATAGTTTAGATATTTTGTTGTGTTTTCAATTAGAAATCTTTTTATCAAATGGCAAGTGTTGACATTTGGTATTTTTATGTGCAAAAAATATAAAGCTTAATTTTGTAATTTAAAAAAAAATCAAATTAAATAGTTTTTGAATAAAAAAAAGAAGTAATGACATAGTTTTGATAATGCATGGTTTTTTTATATATATTTATTATTGGTATTTGACGATTTACTTGATAATCTTTTGATTATGTTGAGTTGGATTGTTTTAAAAAAAAAATGTTAACAAATTATTGTATTATGTTCAAAATTTGTAAAAGTTTAAACCGCCAAACCGATTCGCATCCATCCGTCAATTTGACAGACGAATGTGAATTGATTTTTCTAATCCATTAATCTAGCAGACGGATGACAAATTGAAAATTATTCAACCACAACCGAACGGCGAGCACCCTAGTCATAGGTTGTTAGTGTGTTCTGCACAGTTAGCATATGACTTAGTTGTGCAATGTACATAGCTAACCACAGCTAACCCATTGGAGCAAAGTACAAAAATGTAAGTTACTGAATTGCTATCGTCTGACCCTACCAATGGATTTAACAGACCTATACAAGAATGTGGAGATAGTGACACAAACTGCAGAATGCATGAGGTAGCAATGGAGTGTGTGGGTGGCGGACAAAGGCAAGGTAGGATGGGGGTAATGTTGACAGTGGAGGTGTGATTTGGTAGTTGAAGAAAAAAAAAATGAAAAAAAAAAAGGCAATATAATAAAATAAATCGTACTTTTCCAATTATTTTTTAACTTCATACTCTTACTATAATTATTTTTGCTTCTACACTCATGTACAATTATTTGCCTCAAATTTTGTTTTGTTGTTGTAATTTTTCAATATTTTTAGATAGAGAAATCAAAGCAAATCTAATTTTTAAAAAAATTAAATTTAAATAGAAACTATTTAAAGTAATTACATTGTTTTGAAACTACTTAAAGTTTTTCTAGCTATTTTCTGCTACTCTGTCCATTTCATAAAGTATTAGACCTGATTTAACAATAGCTACCCAATTTTTAAGAGATTTTTTCTCTGAATACATACATATTTCTATGAGTATTATTGCAACTAATTTGTCTGAAAATATATTTACTCATATTTTTCCCAACAATGTCAGGGATACTAACACATTTATTAACAATTTTATTAACACGCTCATAAGTTTTGATAAGATCAATATAAGACTCATATCAACTTACGAGTGTATTAATAAGATTGTTAATAAATATGTTAAGATCCCTAACATTTTTTTATTTTCTCACCACGATAAATGAAATGTGTGACATGTGAGAATTCTTCCTTGCATCGAATAAATAATTTTTTTATAATTAATTTTAAATTTTAATTTCTCTCTTTCCAAACTAGGATTTGGGGATCATATTGTGATTAAAATCATAGCAAGGATATGTGGTGCATGGGGGATTTTATCTTTGATTTTTTTTTTAAAATTTTGAATTGTTCATATTGTAGATTTGTCGAGTATATCATTTATACAAAAAATTAAGTTAATCAGAAATCAACAATCCCATTATCATTCAAATTGTTTTACAAAATTATCAAGATTATATTAATCCTATATTTTTAAAAAATAAATGTATTCTTACTATAGACTTATGATTTTTAATCAATTTAATTTTTTATATAAATAATCTATTAAACAAATTCTATCAAAATTTGAAAAATAAAAAGAAATTATAAAAAAAAAACCACCAAAACAACACAGATAATAATCATTCAAATTGTTTTAAAAAATTATCAAGATTATATTAATCCTATATTTTTAAAGAATAAATGTATTCTTATTATAGACTTATGATTTTTAATCAATTTAATTTTTTATATAAATAATCTATTGAACAAACTCTATCAAAATTTGAAACATAAAAATTATAAAAAAAAATCCCACCAAAACAACACAGGTCACTATTGTGAGTCACAGCATCGTCCTTTGCCCGAGTAGCGGTAAATACTTGGGAGCAGCTTGTGTCTAGTTCGAGATCAAACTGGACAGTGTTGTTGGATTTGTGGAAATTTATCATGCGTCTCGTTTTGATAATTTAAACCGTTTGATATATGGAATTCGTCGAGTACTATATACTTGTAAAAAATTACGTTGATCGGATAACAATAGTTATATGATCAAAACAGTTTTTTGTCAACCATTAATTTATTCACCGTTTTTTTTAATACAAAACTGATTTGATCACATAGTTATCGATATCTAATTAATGTAATTTTTTATAGGTATATAATACTCGATTAATTTTACATATTAAACAGTTTAGATTATCAAAATGGGATCCGTAATGACTCCCACGGGTCCAATAATACTATCCAATCTGATTTCAGACTGAACCCAAACTAAACCCAAACAGTTAGTTACTTCACGCGATCCACGTGCATTTTATTTATTTATTATTTCTTATAATAAATTATTATAGAAAAAGTATTAATTATTTTCAATTATCACTTATTCCTATTCTTTCATTAATCATTATTTATTATATTTTTTTATGTTACTAAATTACTTAATATAAGATCATAATACCTTATATCTTTTATTAATTATAATATAAAAAAAAATGAAGAATTTTAAAAAATATGTAAATCTTATAATAATGTAATGTTGGTGTCTTAATTTTATTTTTTTTTCATTATCAAATTATTAGAATTTTATTTAAAACTCCTAAATTAGGGGATGAAATTATAATATCATGAAGAAAAATGCTTCGGACTCTCACTGGGGGTCGACTCCCAGTGAAGTGGCGCTTCGTGATTGGGTAAAAAAAAAACTATTTTATTTATTTATTTTTTTTTTAAGTTTCCGCCGACGACGGCTCATCACCTCACTTGGGTGCGACCACCATGGGTGGGGTCTGCAGCAGAGTTGTATCATGAAACACATGCTATGATAGTCCCGAATTACTCAATAATCACCCCATCGTCGCTAGTCAAGGGAGAGACTACTACACAAATACGACTACCTTTACCCGCTTTCCAAAAGGCACAAACATACTTATCCCTCCCCTAAACCCCCACTTTCCCACTTCCGCCGCCGCAAACCACCACACGCCACCATGCAAGCCACCTTAATCTCCCCACCGTCACACACCCTTCCCCACCCTACCACCGCCACCAGCACCACCAAAACCCTTTCCTTCTCCAAACGCCCCACCACAATCCGAGCCTCCTCCTCAACCGAAACAGTTCCACCACCACCGCAAACGGTCAACATCGCCGACCCATCTCGGAAACTCAACAAATACAGCTCTCAAATCACCGAACCCAAGTCCCAGGGTGGCTCTCAGGCCATCCTCTACGGCGTTGGACTCTCGGATGAGGACATGGGTAAGCCCCAAATCGGCATTTCCTCTGTTTGGTACGAGGGAAACACTTGTAATATGCATTTGTTGAGTTTGGCTGAGGCTGTGAAGGAAGGGGTCAGAGAGGCTGGTATGGTTGGGTTCAGATTCAATACCATTGGGGTTAGTGATGCTATATCTATGGGGACTAGAGGGATGTGTTATAGCTTGCAGTCTAGGGATTTGATTGCTGATAGTATTGAGACTGTCATGGCCGCTCAGTGGTATGATGGGAATATCTCCATTCCTGGTTGTGACAAGAATGTAAGCTCTATCAATGTTTCTTTCATCACTTTTTTCTTCTGTTTTTTGAGGTTTTCAGTAATGGGTATGTGTGGTTTGTGGCAGAATTAAAACTTTTGTTTTTTGTTAAATTTTTTTTTATTTTTTATTTTTCTCTTGTGGGTATGCCTTGTATTTAAGTTTTTGAGTGTTCTTGTGATCTTGTTTTGCCTTTTTAGCTTTTATTTGTGTTTCTGACCAAAAAAAATTGAGTTATTTCCCCTATGATCTTTCTTTGCTGGGTGTTTGTGTAGCTTTTAGTGTTGTATTTTTGCTCTCCTGGGGATTCCTGATTTTGCTCAATAACATTGAATTTAATTGCTTGACTAGGATTCTACCATGTTGATTTAGTATACAATGTTGCACGTGATAAATGTGCCGAAACTTGCTCTAGCTTATTGATGTTGAAATAGCTATATCCTTGGAATTGATAATTTACTAGAAAGCTTAAGGATTATGTGTGTACAGGTAAGCCTTAATTTTGATTTTAAGCAGGCTTTTTAATTGGTGCATTCAATAAGGAAGGCTATTTGTCAGCATATCTGGTTTATTAAAATATGCGCCTGAATGTTTTCTAGCTACAATATGATTATTAAGTAAAAATGAGAAGGGAAAAAAGTGATTAGCAACTTTCTACATCAAAATGTCCGAGGCTTTGGCACTTAATTTCCTTGGTGAAAGCTTACCACTCTGTTTAGCCTTTTCTCGGAATTTATATGTTGCCTTTAGTAGTCTTTGACTCTATGCAATGTTAGAACATTTATTTTTACATTGTTTTTAGTGTTCAAGGCATCCTTTTGTTCTTTCCCCTTATTTCTTAGGTTGCAGAACTATGTTTAAGCTTGTAGCAGTAGAGGAGTAGCCCTGCCTGTAGCATTCCATTTTTTTTTTTCTTTCTCATTCATTGTTTTTTACTCACTGGATCATGTACAAGTCATAGTCAATTTGCGTTAAGAAAGAAAAATAAAAATGGTAAATATGTTAACTATGAAATTAATGTATTAAGAATGCTTCTTAATAGGATATTGAGAATGCTTCTTAATGGGACTATTTCGTAGTTTTTCTGCCATTGGCTTGTGATATCTATTGATAAGTGCGTTTTTGCTTTCTATACACTTTTATCTTTAGAAATATTGCCACTAGCAATATTACCCAACCTCTCTCTCTCTCTCTCTTTTTTTCAGTAAGTAATAATTTTTATAAAACCTAAGAATATTTACAAACTACTAGGGACATATCCCCATGCAATACAAGAAAAGCTAAGGCTGTGTTTGGAAGGGTTTTGGAATTACAGTTCTACCCCTACATTCTAGTATGATGTTTGGTTTGAGTTTTGGAAAATTAATTCCACTCCTCCTTTTGAAAACTCGTTCTAGGCAGGCTTTTAAATTTTGAAATTTGGCCTACCGGTCGTCCCCCCGAACGTCCAGCCGGTCTAGTTGACTTGAGCAGTGCATTTTATTTATTTATTTATTTTTGCAATTGGCACTTTTTTTTTAAAAATATTTTTAATAAAACAATATTTTTGGAATTTTTAAATTTTTTTTATGAACTTTTAATAGATTTTTGAGTTGTATGTTTGGTTATAAGTTGTAGGTTTTTGTATTAAATATCATATGTCACATCAAAAATTCCCCACTCAATTGAAAATTTTTTTCAAAACTCATTCACTAAAAAAATTTTCTACACTCAAATCATAATTCCAAAACTCACAAACTCAAAATGCAACTCTAATCTCAAATGATATTTAGAAAACTCTACCAAACGCTAACTAAATAACTTCTATAAAATCTCTCCCTCCCTCTCTCTTCATCTTGTTTGCCCACTCAATTATTTGACTTATCAATTTTGGAAAGTTGTTACATGGTTCACTGGTTGTTAAATTGCCCAATTAATTTGTATCTAATGCTTTACTAACTTTTGCAGATGCCAGGTACAATTATGGCCATGGGACGTCTTAATCGGCCAAGTATCATGATTTATGGTGGAACTATCAAGGTTAGACACAAACACTTTTGCAAGTGATTGCACTTATCCCATTTTTGTTACTTTTATTTTAGCATATAAACTTGATAAACTTGTGACTGGACAAGAGTTCTTATTGGGTGCAATTATTTTCAATTCTGCATACTTAAACTTAATAAGAACTCTTAAGGTTATTTATCAAATAAATAAATGAATAAATAAATAAGAACTCTTAAGGTCAATAGCAATCTTTCTGTAAATGAGGACTCGTTAGGGGGAAAATGGAATAATTTTGTTTGAAAGATTTTTCTCCATAAGGTGATGACATTGATCATGCATTATTGCGTAGATGCCTTGTGTTAAGAGTAATTGATAAGATATTTCGCTGTTTACTTTTAAAAAAAAGGTTATTTCCCGGTTCAATGTAAATATAACCATGAATGTACTATGTTCTTTAAGCACACTCGTTAAGTTTTCTGATACTTCATAATGTAGTTAGTTTTTAATTGTTTTTTATGTCTTAAATTATATAAAATTATTCAAATAAGATGTCACCTTAACAATTTAGATATTTTTCATTTCTCCTTCTGCAAATTCTACATGATCAATAATTGGTGATGATATGTTCAATTGCCTCATGTGCAGCCCGGTCATTTTCAAGGCCATGTGTACGACATAATATCTGCCTTTCAGGTACGTGTCCTTAGTTGCAGTGTCTGATATTGTAATTTGGGTGGATTTGTGTAGGTGGTGAACTGGGGCTATTAGTTTGCATTTCTCGTATCTTCTTCAGCCCCTTACTGGTTGTTGAGGCAATTGATTGAGAAATTGCTTCCCGATATACTGGACAAGCTTTTAGGAGGGTTCGTAGAGTGTCGTGTCCAACTTGACATGCTCTTCCATAGAAGAGTTTGTGGTACTTAGCTTATGAATAAGGCTGTGTATCATTTTAGACTTTTTTTTGCTAAAAACATGTGTTTCACTATGGCAGATTCACTGATTTCCCAGATGCTACAAATAGAACTTATTTATTTCTCTCTTTTGATCATTTTTGTAGGTTTATGGGGAATATGTGAGTGGTTCTGTAAATGATGAACAGATGAAGAATGTACATGGCGAATACCATGGCTTCCGCTATTGAGGCAATGGGAATGTCTCTCCCTTATAGGTAGAGCAATGTTATTGCATTATTCACTTAGATTGCAGTTATTGCACATCTTTCTTGGCTAATTTTTTTCTTTACTCTCTTTGGTTCCAAAAAGCTCTTCAACACCTGCTGAAGATCCATTGAAGTTGGATGAGTGTCGTCTAGCTGGAAAATATATTCTAGATTTGATAAAAATGGACTTAAAACCGCGAGACATTATTACTCCTAAATCACTACGTAATGCAATGGTCATTGTCATGGCCTTGGGTGGGTCGACGAATGCGGTGTTACATTTAATTGCTATTGCAAGGTGAGGAATCCTTGGTAATGAACTTCCCTTATACATCAATAAGTATATCTCATGGAATTGCTAATGAAAGATTCTTGGCAGGTCTGTTGGCTTAGAGTTATCTGTTGATGACTTTCAAAAGGTTAGTGACCAGGTTCCGTTTCTCGCAGACCTTAAGCCTAGTGGCAAATATGTCATGGAGGATGTCCACAAGGTGGGGAAAAAACTATATGTTTTTTTTTTTTTTTGGGCTTTTTTTTTACTGTACTTGTTTTATTCCTTGGGGTGTCGCATGTTGTTTTATTGCCTATTTATAGCCTTAAACATGAAGTGCTTATTATCATATTCTCTTGGCGGCTGATAAACCCGTGTCGATATAGATTGGAGGAACACCTGCAATCATTCGCTATCTCTTGGAGCTTGGGTTTTTAGACGGGGATTGTATGACTGGTAAAAATATTCTGTATTTCTTGGTGGCATATTCTTTTATTGCAGATTGCGGTTTATTTATCCTATTTTGATCTTTACATAGAGAACATTTGTTTTTCTTTCATAGTCACGGGGAAGACACTGTCTGAGAATGCTAAACTATTCCCTTCTCTGTCTGAAGGCCAGGTAAGACGGTTTCATTTTTATTTTTTGAAAATTTCATATTTACATTAGTGTAATATTTCTGTTCATTTTTATTTGTTATGGTTTACATGTCAGTTGAGAATAAAAAATATGTTATCCTTTTGTATCTCTTCCAGCAAGTAATAAGACCATTGACAAACCCCATCAAGGAAACGGGCCATATCCAAATATTATATGGAAATCTTGCACCAGAAGGTTCTGTCGCGAAGATTACCGGGAAAGAAGGGCTGTATTTTTCTGGTGCTGTGCTCTGTTCTGCTTTTCTTTTCTTTTTTTCAGTTTGTTTCTCATGATTTATACTGGCTGTTGCTCAACTCGGGGAATTATCATTTCAATATTACCTGTTGTATTGAAGAGATGATTGCAAAAATTATTTGCCAGGTCCTGCTTTTGTCTTTGAAGGAGAGGAAGCTATGCTTGCAGCTATCTCTGAAGATCCTATGAGTTTTAAGGTCTGGTAACCATTTTTGTTTTCTTTTGCAATTGTGTCCTATTTCTCTAGCAATCCAGTGCATTAATTGTTGAAAATCATTTCCTCCTGTGCCATTCAGTGTGGTTTTTGGTTTTCTTTTTCTTTCTTTCTTTCCTTTTCTTTTTTTTTCTCCTTTTTCATTTGTCCTGAGTTTCATTTTATTGTTTCTTAAGCACGATGCTCTAAAGCAATCCTGTATATACAAAGAACCAACAACTAATTCGTATTGGGCAGTCAGTTACTATCAGGAGCTTGGCACCAGGCATATCCAAAATGCTTTTCATTTGCCTTGTATGACGTACTCTATAGTCAGTCTTCATTCTTCTAAGTCCTACGCATACACAATTAAGCTAGGCCCTACATTGGTCTGCAATTATCTCTGAATGTTTAATCGCTTTACCTTTGGGGAAGAAATAAAGCAGTACTAGCTCAACACATACCATAAAAAGTTATTTATTAGTAGTTACATCTCCTAGCAATCTGTCTTTCTAAAATACGCTTAGGTACACAATCACCTACCAAACTTCTAACAGACGGTGTGATCTTCAAAGTTCATCATTCGCAGTGCTAATGCTGGTTTTTATGCATGTACTTCATGTATGACGATGTTAGTTTGAATTTTCAGTTAAGGATTTTCCGTGAGTTATATGATTAAACATAGCTCTCTATGGAACATTTTTTAAAACAACATTAGGAGCCACTTTCCAGGCTACATCTCTAAAAGCTTTTCTGTTTTTGCTCATGTGCAAATGATATATTATCCAGAACGGCCAAACAAGTCTCGGAGCTCTTCGCCAGCTGCTCATTTTTTTTTTCTTCTCTTGCCATCAATGTTGTTTTTAAAGGCTTGAGTTGTCTACTTACTCTAGCATACTCAAGTTTGTGAGCACGAATTTGGCTTGCAAGTTATACGAGTATGACAGAGACATCAGTACCCAAATTTAGTCATTAATATTCAAATATGACAATGTTTCTTGAGCTTGGTATTCAGCTCATTTATTGTTATCTAATTTTTTTTCTTCTTTTCTTTTATGATTCAAATAACTCAGTTTGTCCACTTGATTGTGCTATCCTGTTCATTCATAAAGTATTTTATTGGAGCTTTATTTTAAAACAAACCATTGTTTCATTTCAGTCCCAAATATGATGTCTCAATATTTGACTTCTTGCTTACAATTATCACTTCCAGGGAAAGGTAGTTGTTATTAGAGGAGAAGGGCCTAAGGGGGGGCCTGGCATGCCTGAAATGCTGACACCAACAAGTGCGATAATGGGAGCAGGTCTTGGGAAGGTTTGATACTCTGCAATTACAATCCTTCTACTTTATGATTATTAATTTATGCATCTGCAGTTGCAATGATATGAAAGGTTGATCCATCCATGCCTTTTGGTGGTGGGTAAGGATGGGGAATCAAGGCAGTTGATTACCTGCTAGAGAAATCCTTTAGGCTGTGTTTGAATGGCAGTAATCTTGAGGGGGAATGAGAATATTATTCCGGATTCTCAAGATTCAAATGTTTGGAATCCTTTAGGCTATGTTTGAAAGCCATGTTGTTTCATTGGCATAAGTTAAAAAATACTTGTTTTGTTTTATTTTGAAGTAACAAGTATTTCACATATCACCCGTGAATTTTACAGGATTGTGCATTGTTGACTGATGGGAGGTTTTCAGGAGGTTCACATGGTTATGTTGTTGGCCACATCTGCCCGGAAGCACAGGTTTGTTAGCTTTTAAGTACCTAGTTTCGCATCTTTTTTAGATCGTAAGATTTTTATCGTTTGTGCTTCTGTGTTTAGATTTTTCTCTCTTATTTTTTGAGTTCTTAAGAGTAGTGAATTGTGAAATATTTTCAGGAAGGTGGACCAATCGGTCTCATTGAAAATGGAGATGTCATCACCATAGATATTCGGGAGAGAAGAATGGATGTTCAGTTAACAGATAAAGAGATGGAGGAGCGAAGAAAGAAATGGAAGCCTCCTGCGTATAAGGCTGACAGGGGAATTCTGTTTAAGGTATGTATGTGAAGATTGCCTGGAAAATTTTGCATTATATATAGTTGATCTGTTTACTAAACAACTCTCTCTCTCTCTCTCTCCCCATGTCCAGTACATCAAGACCGTGCAACCGGCTTCAAAGGGGTGTGTGACTGATGAATAGTATAAAGGGGCCGGCCATGGTTAGGAACGTATAGAGTGACTCAGCAAGCCCGAGATATAAAAAGCCACAGGTTGGGTGTCTGATGGAAAATTTTGCATTATATATAGTTGATCTGTTTACTAAACAACTCTCTCTCTCTCTCTCTCTCCCCATGTCCAGTACATCAAGACCGTGCAACCGGCTTCAAAGGGGTGTGTGACTGATGAATAGTATAAAGGGGCCGGCCATGGTTAGGAACGTGTAGAGTGACTCAGCAAGCCCGACATATAAAAAGCCACAGGTTGAGTGTCTGATGGCGGCTCTTTAGGATGATATTAATCTCAGTCTTTCCTTCTGAATGTTTTTTTTTTTTTTTTGGTTAGGGAGTTTTTCTTCATTTCATCCTATTTTTTTTGGGCAACTCAACTTTTATTTATTGCTTTGAAGTTATTTGAGTGACAAAAGTTAAATACGAATTGGCTGTGTTTGGATGTCCCAAAATTGTGGCAAATCATTTTGCTTTATCCTTTGATTTTGTTTTGTTTTGTTTTTTTAATTTTTTTTGGGTTTTTCTTTGTGTATATATATTGTTATATACTCTTTGATTTGGGGAGTGATTTTATGGCGCGTTTGATTCCTGAATATAATTTTTGTGGGATATGGGTGTTAGTAATATCATAACATCATGAATGGAATTAGTAATACTTGAGATATTGAATGAGGTTATGTAGTATGGTAGGATTTTAGATGGGATTAGTAATATTTAAGATATTAAAAATTACGTTGTATATAATATGAGACGGAATTATGTTTATTTTTTTTGTTTTTGAAACAGGTATATAGCATGACAAAAAAGAAAGGCTTTAGTTTTGTTTTGGATAAATTACGCTTACTTTTTTTGAAATTTAAAAAAAATATATATTGAGAGGTTGTTTGGCAATGATTTTTTTAGTTGGCTTTTTGGTTTTTTTGACTTTTTTTAGTCTGAGACTTTTTTAGTCGTTTGGTATTCTTGTTTGGCTTTTTTGATTTTTTTGTTTTGGAATGACAAAATTGTTCTTCGTATAAAATGATGTTTTTTTGACCTTTTGTTTGTATATGGGGTAATTTGGTACTTTTGTAGCTTTTTTGGTTTTTTTGTGATTTTGTAATTTTTGTTTATCTTTTTGTGATTATATAGCCAAAGATGAAAACGAAACCAAGGCTTAATTTTGTACTTTTGATATTATTATATTTTTCTGACTTGCATCGTAGTGGGATATATATATATATATATATACTGGCGTATATCCGTGCTTGAAGACATGGTGTAAATAATGTTAAGATTATAATATAATTATTATCGTAACACTATTTAAATTTAAGATTAAAATACAATTATAAAAATATATTTAATAGACTATACTCTACAATTTCAAACAAATCAAATATAAAAAAAATTAAATATCAAATAATGTACACCTTTCAATAATTTTTCTGTTGGTAAACCATAACAGTAATAATTTTTCTCTGAATTTTATCTGTCATTTTTCTTTTAGTCTGTTGCAATTTGTTTCAACAACAACAACTAAAAAAAAAAATTTTAAAAAAAGAGGAATTTGCTTGAACCTGACCCTTAAACACATATATGAGCTCAAATCGTTTTTTTTTCTTTTATAAAAATAGAAAAAAAATAAAAAAGGCCTCAGATCTATCTTACTCTCTTTCTCTCTTATCTGTTAAAAATATCTAAGTAGCAAATAAAGAAATGATAAAAGAGAGGACCTCTCCTGTGAAGCAATTCATCAAGCATTTAGTAGACAAAGGAGAATAAGGTATATTTGTTGATCCAACTTACCAATTACCAATATTGCTTAACAAATTAAAATCACAAATCTAACAGAGAAGCAACAATAAATTGTAAACAACGTAAAATTAATTTTTATTGATACAATAGTCAAAAATAAACAATTTCTCTAAAATTAATATTACTATATAACATTCTAATAATTTAATATAAGACTTATTCCACACTATATAAACAACGTAAAATTTATTATTTTAAGTAATGTATTAATTATTTGATTTTTTTTTTAAAGATAAGGATAAATGGATTTATTTTTTTCCCACAATTTACATTACTTATTTATTTGTATGTATAAAAAATTATTATTTCATATTTTCTCAATCATATATTATTTTCAATTTTTATTTTCGAGCCATTAAACTTCTAATTGATGCATATTTAAAAAATACAGGTTAATATATCTTACATAATTACAAAAATTTAAAAATAAATAAATATAGAAGTAAAAAAATCAAAATGAAAAAATCTTATGGCCTTCCAATAAATTACAATTTTTTGATAGAGAATGAAAGATTAAGAAATCATTTGACAATAATAAACAATTCAAACAATCTCTTATTTATTACACCTAAAATTAAAATTACTCTTTACTTGAATGGAGAAATTATTATACTAATATAATTGATGATCTGACTAATATTTTTCTGATGCAATAGGAGAGGCATGATCCACCATAAAGCTACATGACTTTGATAAGTCAAGATCAATGTTTTCAACTCCCTTTGTGATTGCAGAACTGATCCACTGATCAATGTGAAGAGCAGAATCCTTGATCAAGGGAAATTGGACAGCAAAAGAGCCCACTTTTGTGCCTTTGCATCGTTGGTGCATAAAGTGATTGACCCGCTTTATAAACTTACACCTCTGCAGTTTCCTATCCAACTCAGATTGACAATGAGATATGCCGTTGGAGTAAACAATGCTCCCAAGTATATTAGCATAATCAAAATAGAGGTCAGCATGATCAATCCAAATGAACTGCCATCGTTCTGATAGGATGCTAGTTCTCACAGCCTCTTTCAATGGCAGCATAGAAATGATTTTGGAAAGAATCTCATCTGGTAGTTGAATAAGTTGATCCTCCTTTCTCTGCCAATTAAAAAAAAAAAAAAAACATCAGCAAAATGGAGTGCAGCAACATTACTTCTTATAAACAGATTTTTTTACTTCTTATAAAATGGAGTAATTTTGTTCAAAAACATCTGTAAAAACATCATCAAAATGGAGTGCAGTAATTTTGAACATTCTGAATTTTTATAAAACATCTAGTCAATAATTTTTAAAAATGGAGTGCAGTAATTTTGAATTTTTATCAAAAATATCTGCTCATTATAGAGATATTACATTCAGTAATATTACTTCTTATGGATTGATGCTCATTATAAAGATGCTTTGGCATTGAAATTGGAAATACATAGAAATGGATATGGGTATTGACCTCGTTTTGAACTCACGATCTCCAAATCGAACTCGAACTCATGAACGCATTTCCTGATCACGAAGTCGACCCAGCGAGCGAAATCGCTTCCAGATTGGAGCAATTCTGGGATTTGTTGGGTTCCAATCGGGTCTCAAGATCACGAACTTGATCTACATAACCCAAATCCAAATTCGTTGTGAAGGTCCAGAGGTTTCTCCATCTGAAAATATCAAAAAAGATAAAGAACAATTGCAAGAACAATTGAAAAGTGATCTTACCTAGAGAGCAGAAGAAGAAGAACAGGGCTGGAGAGTAAAGAGATAAAAGAGGGATCGGTGAGAACAAAGAAGGGAGGAGATAAAGATTGAATAACAGAGTGATCTTAAAGATAGAAGGAGATGAGACGTGGGTGAGTAGAGTGGAGATGAGATGTGGGTGAGCAGGTATTTTAGTGTTTGGGCGGGAAGGGGATTGATATATATTTAAAGGGGGTCATCTCAGCCATCTATCTAAATAGACAAATGAATCATAACCATTGAAAAGTCTTAATAGGACAATTGTCTCTAACATATTTTCAAAAACCGTTCTGTTTTATTATATAGATGTATATATTTACAAACAATAGGGTGCAAGTCATTACAGAATCATTTACATCTTTACATATTTTTATAATTTTTTTTATTCCCATTATGCTGTGATTTCTTATATTATTTTTATATTCATGCAATTAATAAATTATTGAAGAAATGTAATAAGTATTAAAATCTTGAGAGAAATCAATATAATTAATCAAAATTGAGATTATTGAATTTTCAATAAAATCGAATCAACTCAATCTAATTTTGTTAGTTCAACTCTGGCATAAATTGTTGTTGTTTATTTATTTTTGGATATTTACAATGATAAAAGAGTCTCAAAATAAACTTTGATTGAATCCATCACGAGTTTGAGTCAAGTAACATTTATAATTAAATCAAGTCAATAAATTAGTTAAAATTTTGAAAATTTAATAAGTCAAAAAAAAAAAAATTAAAAAAAGAAGGGCAAATTACATATACACCCCTCCAGGTTTGGTTAAATTACAGATACCCTCCTGAGGTTTCGGAAATTACATCCCGCCCCTGAGGTTTGTATTTTCATAACAATTTACCCCCTGAGGTTTATATTTCATAACAAATTACCCCATAATTTCTTATGCAAATATAGCATTCAGGGGAAATTCGTAATTTCTCAAACCTCAGGGGTATCTGTAATTTTGTCAAACCTGAAGGGGGTTTTGCAACATGAATGGGAATGGTTTTGGTTCTTTTTCCAGCCCTAATAACTAGGGTTTAGTACTGTATGGTCCTGTAATTGGTCCTCGACTCCTTGAGAACACAAGAAAGAAATTGAGTGCGAGAGAGAGCACAGGCTCACCAACCGACTGTAAAGAAGAAGAAGAAGACATGTCCGCGAACAATCCTTCTCAGCTCCTTCCATCTGGTACTTCTCACTTCCTTTAAAAATCCCTGCTTTTTCCCCTTTCCTCTCCGTTTGGTTCCCGAGAAAATGTCCTACACAATAGGAAAATAACTAAAATCGTATATTTTGGACTTCCCCCAAATTTCTAGTATGTTGGTTTCAGTGTTGACTAAAAAATTTGTGCTTTGCTTCACTTTTTCTTTCCTTTTGTTTTTGAATTCATGTTTAATTTGTTGTGTGTGATGGGATTTCAGAGCTAATTGATCGTTGTATTGGGTCGAAGATATGGGTGATAATGAAAGGCGACAAGGAACTTGTTGGGACTCTTAGGGGGTTCGATGTATACGTCAACATGGTTCTCGAAGATGTCACTGAATAGTAATTATCAATCTCTCTCTCTCCCTCCCCTGTTTTATACATATCTATGTATGTGTGTATATTGGCATTAATTTGAGCATAGGTTTGAATTGGGATTGTTTCTGGAGTCTTTTTTGGCTGAATTTTGTATTTTAAATAAACATTTACAAAACTATCATACTTCTGAAATTATTTGGCAAAATAGAGCATTTTTTAAAATTGTAACTACAAGTTGCAAACATGCATCCTTGAATTGAGTAGAATGGCTGAAGGAGGATGGTTCACTTTATATATAAAATGAAGTTGTGAAACCTGCTCAAATATTTATAACTAGAATGAAATCGCATTTCATGATTTCAAATTCGCCACACTGGCTAAATTGCCAAGTTGATGTTTGGCCAACTCAACTTGAAGATGCGATTTTAAATGAAATCATGAATTCAAGTTGCGATTTCAAAAATTGCTGTATTTTGATAAATAGTTTCAAAATATTGTATTTTTATAAATAGTTAATAGAATATGATATTTAACAAAAAGATTCGTTCCTTTTTTTTTTTCTTTCTTCTTTTGGTGCTAAGAGTTTGTAATTCTAAACATCACAAAAATCCCTCTTGGCCCGAAAAAGTTAAAAAAAAGAGAAGCTATGGACTCATTGTTTGCAAAGGGGTTAATTTGTGTCGCATCCAGGGACGTAGAAAGGCATGCTCCTAAGTTCTACAATATAGACTTGGGATCATTGGTACCAATTATTTGTCCCATTCGCTGTGTGTTGTCATGTTGTTACTACTTAAGAAAGTGAGGATTGTGTTTTAACTAATGGAGCAATATTGGTCTTAAGTGGTGGCGACGTGACAATATAGGAAGAATGGGACAAAGAGTTGGAACAAAGGATTTGGAGCCCATAAATGAGTTGCAAGAACTAAGAAGGTTATATTGCAAGCCAGGTTTTGAAAAGCGGTCGCGGTGACACGGTAGTGATTGCGGGGTGTAAAGGCCGTAGCATAACGGTTGTGGTAACTAGAACCGTGATTTTTTTTTATTTTTTGCACAATTTGAAGAAAACTTACCGATACGCGTTTTTTTTTCTTTTCAGAATCACATTTATTGGGATTTAAAACAAATTTTGATCATTTTTTGTTAATTTTTAAATATGATCCAATATATTTCATATTTTCAAATCACTATAAAAGGAGTTTTTTACATTTTATTTTAATAGTTAATGATTTTAAGAATAATTGATTTTAAATGTCTACAAATTATTTTTTACCAATACCTAAATTAACTAAATAAAAAATATTCATAATTACAAAGAAAAAAATTCATATAAGATTTTTTCTTTGAGTTTGGATTACTTGAGTATTTGTTCTTTTTTTTTATGTAAGTTTTTGTTTTTTGGGGGGAAAAAGAAGCTATTTAGAATATTGTAAAAGGGTGTAACAGTGTCTAACGGACCGTTACGGTACTGCTGCGGCCATTATGTAACACTGAAACGGCCGTTACACGTGTGAATTTTTGTTGTACCGCTATAGCGGTCATAACGGGTGGCGGTAATCACCGCAACCGTTACGTAATGGTTATGGCTGCTTTTTAAACCCTTGATTGCAAGGCATACCTTAATTTATTATCATCATACATTTTGATTACCTTCCCTCTATAGAGGTTGCAACTTGCAAGACAATAAAAGGAGTTAGCTTTTGCATAATTTTTGCTACCCTCTTATGCTTGCGATGAGATGGGCATGGCTTGAATATCATTTAGATCTGCCCATCAATAAGGAAAATAAGAAGGATTAGGATAGATATTGTTAAGAGTTAGAATGTTTAAGTTGTAATTGTTTTTAGAAGTCCAAGATCTAGTCAAGTTAGGAAGTTACATTGTAATTGGGCTCAAGTGTCTTTGCCTGTTTGGCATCAAGCAAAGCTGCAAACCACTTGAGTGGTTCATTTAGTGCTGAAGCGGTGATTCTGTAGAGCTCTCAGCATTTTTACTGCTCGAATGGTCCATCATGCCTCAAGGGGTAGGGCGTCGACTTTGCGATCTCTGAAGGCAGTTTGGCCTTAGATTTTGTGCAGAATTGATTTAAGTCACCCTAGGGCACTTCGTAGGGCGTCGACTTTGCGATCTCTGAAGGCAGTTTGGCCTTAGATTTTGTGCAGAATTGATTTAAGTCACCCTAGGGCACTTCAACTATAAAGATGAGACTACCAGAAAGACCAAAACAAGCTTGAACAATGTAAGAAGAGGCTATATGCTAGTGTTCAAGATCAATCAATCTCTAAGCCTTCTACTTTTTTCTTTTTTTGGGGATAAATCTCTCTAAGCCTTCTACATCATTATTTCATGCGTGAGTGAGTGACAATTACTTATCTACTTGTGCGTATGACTTTTACTTAATTGAGGCTTGAATGATCCTTCTATCTGTTGAAAAGCCATTGTGTAAAAAATGGCTATTTTATAGTTCATAACAAGTTAGTTAAAAGTCAATTTCTAGAGCCATTTTTGCTTCTTTTATTTAAAGCGAGCACAAGGTAATGGTTGATGAAAATAAGCTTTTAAGCATAGAGGCCTTCTTGAACTTGAATAGAATTGGTCTCAATCACTTAGCCGGTTTCCAAGAATTATCAGGCCTAGCTCTGAAAAGTGAATGCTATTTTTCATCCCCATTTCTTTGTCCTAAACATGAGACTTGTTATGATTAGTTTTGGCACTTCTAATTGTGCTTTATGTAGTGTTGTTTTGGTCCAATGCTTGGAGATAGCTATTGCTTGATTTCCTTGTTTGGACATGGTGTAACAAGCAATTTATTTTTCCAGCGAAATCACTTCTGAAGGGCGACGGATTACAAAGCTTGATCAGATCTTGCTCAATGGAAACAACATTGCCATTGTAAGTACTAGTCTATGATGTATTGATTGGTTATACATTTTACTTTATTTCTTCATGAGCACCAACCAAGGCATCTTCTTGTGCAATGCAGTTGGTTCCTGGTGGCTCTCCTGATCCAGAATGAGGCATTTATCCCAGGTTGCTTTGTTTTGACATCTTTCTGGGAAGATGGTATTATCATTTGACAAAGTAATCTTATAAGAAGCCTAACTACCAAGACAATACATTCCAGTGTTATTTAGTCATTTACACAAGTCGTGGCAAAACAGTTCAGAAGGGAAAGATGCTTTCCATTATTTTCATTTTAGAAGAAGAATGAACTTATGTATTTGCATTGTTGTTTAGGGTTCTAGCAATCCTCGTAATTATATTGCAAGAAATTTACCTGGATATTATTAACATGTTTACAATTGAATGATGGTTGATGAAGATTTTATATCCATTTTGGTGTAAAAGTAACTTTTGTTTTAAGGCACATCATCCTTTTTATTTATAGTTAATTGTCAAGGTTGAGGTCTGCTGCATTTCCGTGGCTAGTTGGTTTACGCCAAACTGAACGAACTGTTCGCTTGCAGAGTCAGTTTCTGGTTTCATACAAGCCACCAGAGTGCTCTGCTTATGTTCACCGGCAGCAGAGCCATTCTCACAATGATCTGTATAGGAATTGGAACATGGGAAAATTTTCAAATCTTTATCCTTATTATCTGACTTCACAGCCCTGACATGTTTTATATTAGGGAATGACTTCCTTCCATTGCAATCACGGATTGGAGAGTACTGTTGGGTCCTCACGGACCCACCAGGAGTCTAATTTTGATAATTCGAATTGTTCAATGTGTAGAACTCGTTGAGTATTATATGCCTGTAAAAAATACGTTGATCGGATATCGATAGCTATGTAATCAAATTAGATTTTTGTAAGCCGTTTATTTTTTTTCATACAAAACTAATTTGATCAGATAGCTTTCGATATCCGATCAATGTGGCTCACTTTTTCAGGCATATAGTATTTGACGAGTTCTACATATTGAACGGTTCGGATTATCGAAACATGATCCGTAATGGCTCTCATGGGATCAACAGTACTCTTCAGTCCGATCATAAACTAGAGAGAAGCCATTTCCTTTATATTATACTGTGAGTTTGAGGTTGAAATTTGTTTATAACATAATCTTTACATTTTTATAGCCTTGTCCAGTTTTTCAAAAAAATTTGAATCAAAGTCATGTTTGGTTCCATTTTTTGAGTTAATTTTCAGGATTTATTTTTGAGTAGTGTTTTTTGAAAAAGTGACCCTTGTTTGGTTGTTGGAGTTAGATTCAAAATTTAAGTTAAATTTTGTACGTTAAATTCAAAAACCCCTCTAGAAAATATCTAATCACTTATTTATTTTTCCTAAATGGTTTGGAAAATTGGATTTTAGGATTTTTGGACTTAACCAAACAAAAACTCTAAATTTTCTTTAAAATTGAGTTTAAAAAGTGGAAACAAACGCGGTGGCTCTCTGGTTGTTTCAGCTGATTTTTATTTTTATTTTTAAAAAAAAAAATTGAAGAAAGAGATCTCTTTTATCACTTGTTTTTAGATGATTAAAAGGGTAAAAATGTAAGAAAATAATATAAATTATGAGAAAGAGAAATCATTTAAAATTCTTATTATGTTTCTCCCATGGTTTTAAAAACCGGACCGGACCGGCCGGTTCAACCAGTTGAACCGCCGACCGGTCGAGGTTCCGGTCCGGGTATACCCATAGAACCGGTCGCAGTGAAAAACCGGCCTATTTTGGGAGAACCGGGAAAACCGGCGGTCGGACCGGTGAACCAGTCGACCCGGTTCCGGTTCTCCGGGTTGATAAAAATGAAATTTTGAATTTTTTTTTCTTTTTTTATTCTTTCTTTCTTTTCTTTCTTTCTTTCTTATATTATATATATATATATATATATATTATATATATAATAAAATTTTAATTGGAAACTCTCTTTTAAGGGTCTCCTCTTGTGAGGAATCCCATTGAGAGCTTGAAATTATTGTGAAAGCCTCTATCTATTTATAAGAAAAAAATTCTTCCAAAAAAACTCAAGAAATCTATGTGGGATTCAATCAAATCTATTGGAGGGAAACTTAAAGTTTTGATATCCCTCCAAAATTTTTGCTCTTCTTTCAATCAAATTATTTGAATTAAAATCATATGGAGGGAATATTGAATATTGAATATTTGATTTCTTCTTCCAAAATTAAAATTAATAATATTTTTAAATATATTTTTATATTTTTTAATAAAAAAAATATTAAGAGAAATATTTAAGATTATTAAAATTTTTAATTTATAATTTTATTACTTATATTTTTATTTAAATATAATTTTAATATATTTATGACGTCACGGTTCGATTCCGGTTCAACCCGACGGTTGAACCGGTGACCCGTCCACCCAATCATTTTTCCGGTTCACTCACCGGTCCGGTTTTTAAAACATTGGTTTCTCCCTAGAGTGGTGAGAAATAAAAATTGCTCTATATAAAAAATTTAGGGTAAATTATAAGAAGAAAACTCCGAAGTTTGATCTTTGAAACAAAATAAATTCTAAAATTTTAATTTTATCAATTTAAATTTAAATTTTTTATTTTGTTTTTAATGTAAATCATTTGCTTATTTTCGTTAAGCAAAATCGATTAGAAAAATATTTTTTCAATTATTAAACTCAATGTAGGTGTACGTAAAATATTTAAAAATTTATTTTTCATTGAATTTAACAACTAAGATAGCATTTTTTTTCCCTATCAACTTTGCTTTACAAAAATAGTCAAATAATTTAAATTGAAAGTAAATCAAAATATTAGAGTTCAAATTGATAAAATTAAAAACTCATTGTAATTTATTTTGTTACAATGGTCAAATTTTAGAATTTTTTCTTGTAATTTTTCCAAAATTTTATGATATCTATATTACTTTTTTAATATTATGTTTGAATCTGAGATTTTAGGAATAGATTTGTGGAGGAAAATAAAAAATATTTTTTAAAAAATTATAAAAAGTTTAATTTATATTACATTCACATTTTTTTTTCCTCTTCAAATTTAAAATTCAAAAATAGCTTAAATCTCATCTCACAAACAACTACTCTAATTAGTCCTAAATTTTTTCTATTATTATTAGTGAGGAGTTTCTTTCCATGTAATCTTATTTTTTATTTTGGTAGTGTTTTGGTGGACAACTATACCCTTTTATTAATGTGACAAGTATGATGTGGTACTCCAATGTAGCAGGTATTAATGTAACACTTCAAAAAAATTAAAAACTCTTTAGGCACCGTTTGGGAAGAAGAATATGGGGTTTTTTTTGGCTATTTTAGCCACAAAAGACAAAATAGGCTATTTTAGCCACAAAAAACAAAACATCACATCCAACTCATAATCATTACACTCTTCTCTCACAAAAAAAGTCAAAAAAGTCAAAAAACCAAAAAGCCCTTCCCAAACTAAGCTTTTTAGCCCAAGCTAAAATAGCCAAAAAGTCAACCCACTTCCCAAACCAATCCTTAGTGTACTTTTTTCAAATGTAACAACGTGGCAGATATGATGTGACACTCTAAGACTTTTACTCCAAAAAAACTAAAAACTCTTTAGTGTGCTTTTTCTAAATGTGACAACATGGCGTGACGTGTATGATGTGACACTAAAAAAAAAGCTAAAAACTCCTTAGTGTACTACTTCTAAATGTGACAACGTGGCGGCTATGATGTGACATTCTTAAAAAAAAAAATCTTTAGTATATTTTTTTCAAATATGACAACGTAGTGGATATGATGTGACACTTCAAAAAAAAAATTCTTTAATGTACTTTTTCTAAATGTGATACTCCAATGTGATAGGCAAATGAGTCAATATACATAAAAAATGACTAAATGGATCACAAGAAAAAATATGAGATTAGATAGATTACAAGTCTAAAATATGGGACTTATTGGTCAATCTTCCTTAAGTATAAAACAAATAAAATAAAAAGACATAAATATCCTTTTTTATTTTGTTTTTATTATTACACTCAATTTGGTTGAGTTTTCATCAAAAAAATTTTTTTGGAACAAATTAAAAACTAGTTTAGTGAAAAAAAATGAATTAAAAAAAAAAGCACTCACATGATTTTATTTTTTAAAAACAAAATATTTTTTAATTTTTAAAAAATATTTTTTTAAAAATATTTTTACATTTATTTTTCTCAAAAAAATAAAAAAGAAAAGAGAGCAAAAAACAGAATTTGAAAACAACCAAGGCTAGTCATTTCTTTTCTTTTTCCCAGGATCCAAACAGAGCCTTCGACCACAAACGCGTTTGAGATTACTGTAGAGAATCAGCCATGGTTGTGCCATCTTCTTCCTTGGACATATAAAACCAGAGCATTCTTCTTCTGGGCTCCTCTCTGTTTTGGATTTGAAGGATCCACAAAACCCATACCAGGTTCAATCTCTACCTCAACTTTCTTTACATTCTAATCTGATTATTCATCTATAGACTTGCCATCGAATCTCACAATCTTGAAATGGGTAAATTTTCTTTCTGATTTATTATTTATTATCCTTTGGCGATTCGATGCCCCTTGTTCTTTTCTCTTTTTTCAGAAGATTGAATCTTTGAATTTATTTTTTTGTTAAAAAAATTTGTGTCGTTTTGGTTGTTTCAATTTTTATCCGATTATAAATTGTTGATGGACTTTCTATTGACAGAGATTGAAGTTTAAATTAGGTTTTAATGAGGTTCTAATTCAATATATATATATATATATATATCCACCAGATCGATCCCTTGTTCTCCTATTCAATATTTGAATTGGGTTTATTTTGTATGGGTTGTTTCACATACATGTGCACAAGTAACTTCATCAATTTTTTGGGGTATTTGTACCTTTCCTGTTTTCATTTGAATTGGATGTATCTCAAAATGTCTTGTATGTAGTCGGTTTAAGTTACTTTGATTTGGGGACTCTGGCAAATTTATGAATCATGGTCATTTTCTGGTGTTGCATCCCTGATAGTCTGAATCATTCAACTTATACTAAAGTGTTCTTGTTCGTTGCTGTCAAAGGTCTTTTATGAAGAGTTGTATGGTGTTTGTTTTTGGTGTGATATTTACATTATGACTAATTAGCTTTTGTGACCAACACGAACTGTTGTTGATTTACCAATTGCGACTGGTTTGGTTTTTGTACAGGATATGGATTACATGGACATTGACCAGGTATGTGACGTGCCTGACACTCCAGATAGATTGGCTGCACAGAATATGAATCGCAGACGTTGTATAGAAAAGGATAGTCATCCAGGAAACACCAATTTTTTTGATGAAGGGGCTAGAAATCAACTAAGAGGCAAGACTAAACTGGTAATTGATGGTGGGCCTGGCAAGAGATTGTCTTTTTCCCCTGGAAAAAATCTTAGTATTTCCAACAAATCTGAGCGGGACGGTGGTTTGACAATTTCCTTAGGGAATTCATCTTCTCCCAAGAATGCTCATTTGTTTAGGAGAATGATGGTGTCAGACAAGACTGCTAATCGCGAGGACAAATATCCTTTACATTATCAACATACAGACAAAGGGAAAGCTCTGTGTGATTCTCAATCATCAACTTGTGGAGAAAATGCTGTAGTAGATTTGACAGACCATAGTGGGTCTGCCCAATTATTCCAAAAGGCATTCCGAAATAGATTATCAGAAGATCATCATGCCAAAGAAACTGGAAAAGGACCAATATCAACCAATGGCCTCTCTTCTTTACGTGGGATATCAAATTCTTCAATGACAGCCCACAATGCCTATAAAGGAAAAGAAAAAATAGATGATACATGCAAAGGAGGTTCAGGTGTTGATCATGGAAAAGCAATGTTTGGTGATTCTCAAACTAATGCTGGAAAGAGTTTGTCTTCATCTTTTCCTTCTATTCCCTCACCTAGAGTCAGTGGGCAAAAAAGATTGGTGCGGAATGGATGCATCTCTCCACATAATGTAGCAAAGGCCAAACAGTTGGCTGGAAATCACAGTTATGGTTCCACAGATGTACAGAATGATAAGGGAACTCTGGTATCTGATAGCTCATCGAGTCTGCTTAGGGATTTGGTTGCTGAAGATGGTAATTCTTATAGAGGACAAAGGTTGATAAGTCATCTTTCTTCATCAAAAGAACCGGATACAAAAACTATAGATTTGACTACCAGGTACTTCATTTTTCAATGGAGATCTTTTGGGGTAAATTGCAGTTGTTGCTTGCAGTCATAGTTTCTTTATTAAGGAATCAAGATTGTAACTTGCAACCCTTAAAACCTAGATTAGTATGTAAAGCTGTTAAAGTATGTAGGATGATTAGAGATATCTTTCAGTTGACCTCTCTTTCTGTCTCTTTGTTTGAACACCTCCCTCTCCTCTGATAAACCATTTTCCCAATTAATATTTCGCTTTGTGATATACTTGCAGACGTTCAACAACTTACAATGAAGAGTCCAGTGGAACTAGTAATTCCAGTGAAGGACTGGGTGGGTGGCGAAGTACACATAACCACGCACAGAAAATAAATCTCCCCTTGTCTGATGAGGGTCAACCCCTTTCCAGGACAAAGGATGCCCCATTTTTTGTCAATCAACAACATAAAAACAGGATGATGAGAAGAGATAAGGGGAATGGAAGTAGTAACAGGATTGACTATCACGATGATCAGAATGCAATTTCTTTCCAGCATGGGTCTGCTCCAACTGTATCTCGAGCAGCAGCCCGCCCAGTGTCACAGTCAGATCAAGTTAAAGGGCGTCGTACTGTTGCAAGCACTCTTATTAAAAGACAAAAGCAGGGCTCTGCTTCAAGTAATCGTGGTGAGACCTCTACATCGACCTCTGTTGACTCAGAAATAGTGTTTCTTGGCTCATTAGGTGAGCCATCAAATTCAAAATCAACCAGAAACCAGAGTGGTCATGCTGTAGGCATTTTGGATCCTGTTATTGAACTTGATGAATCCTCCCCTGAAATAAGACGCAGTGGCTCCCACAATGTAGGTCGTAGCAGTAATGTTGACTCAGATACTAGGGCAAGACAGCTAGAAGCAGATGAGATGTTGGCCCGTGAACTTCAAGAACAATTGTATAATGAGGGGTTGGGAGTCGGAGGTGGTGAGGTTTGTTCCCTCATTTCATTTCATTTCTATTAATTTTTTTATTAACTTAGGGCCATATGCTTTATTGCCTTCTGTTTCCTTTTCCGTTTTCAATAATTGTTTACCTGCTATCAACAGATTGATGCACATATAGCCTTGGCTTTGCAGCAGGAGGAAACTTCACAGCATGCTTTTTTTAGTGAAAATCACCCTGTTTTCAGTCCTGTAAGTATGCATCTTTTCATGTAATGGTTATTTATAATATCATAGCCAACGGCATGTTCAAAACTACATCTTGTAATTATTTAGAAAATTCATCTATTGCTATAAATTTCTGAGTTCTAGCTGTTAGATTCCTCTTCCAACATAGTTTCTTAATCTATGCTAGAATTGTAAAACTAAACTGATATATTCTGATAAAGCATTAAGGCAAGATACATAGATGTTGAAGATATTGACCAAGTGGCCTGGTATGAAGTACGGATGCTCTAAAATGGCCCCCGTAAGCGTATCGGATACGGATACGCGTCTGATACGGCGGGATACATATCAGATACGGAAAAGAAGTATCCCATTTTTTTAATTTTTTTTTTTGAATTTTGGATACGTGTGGGATACGTGAGGATACTTTCGGGATATGCTTGGGATACTTTCAGGATACGGCCAGCGGGGCAAAAAAATAATTTTAAAAACTTATAATGGGGGTCAAAGTGTAAAATAACAAAAGTGATGTAAAATAAAACAAAAATAAAAACAACCAAGCCCTAGCTCTAAGGTTCGCGAACAGCAAGGAGCAAGGAGGAGGAGGAGGAGGAGGAGGAGGAGGAGAGGAGTCGATCCAGGTTCGTTCCTCTCTCTCTCTCTCTTGCTCGATCTCTCTATTCTCGCTCGATCTCACTCACTCACTCACTCACTCTCTCTCTCTCTCTCCCGCTCTCGTTCGATCTCTCTGTCAGTTATGATTTTTTTTTTTTCTTGTGTTTTTTGCTTACCCATGTGAGAGTTTTGATTTTTGGACCTTTCTATTAGAGTTTTGAGTTATTAGGATGATAGTTCTATACCAATCAATATGCAAGCTCTGAGTTGTCATGAACTTTGCACATACCCATGTGTGAATTTTGACTCTTTTTTTTTAATTTGATTTTTCTGGAAACTTTTGCAGCTATGTGTTCTCTTGAATTTTGCACTTACCAATTTGTGAATTTTGACTCTCTTGAATTTTCTGGAAACTTTTGACTCGTTTTTATCAAATTGTCTTTTGCTTTAAGTTTTATTTTTATACATGCTATATTACTAAAAATTGTAAAAATAATATTTTTTACGAACGTATCCCCGCTGTACCCGTATCTTAGTTTTTCAAATTTTGTCACATCGCCGTATCCGTATCATATCGTACCCGTATCCCGTATCCGTATCCGTACTTCCTAGGAACCTTGTTTGGGTACCAAGGCCCAAGGCTAGGGCATCGCGTGCGCTAGACTTGGTTGGCATGATACACCTTGACTCCACTGTGGGGCGGGGAATTGAGGATATGCAATTGACCCTTATGTCACCTCACTAGGCTGTCACTTGTTGCGTAGCTTTATGGAGAGGCTGGGTGATGACATGGCGACACCTCGTAATGAAGATGGACTTATATACCTATGGTTGGTAAAAATGGGTTTGTAAACAAAAGGTTAAGGATATGCACACGCAAAGATGGTGTGTTTTGGGGACTGTTTAGGTTTGTTTTGGATGTTGCATGTACAGGGTACATGAAAACAGATAGTGCTGGCTACGTATGTTTTATTTGTTAGAGTTGAAGACTTGAAGGAAGAGAGGCTCAGGCTTGCAGAATGAGATTAATGGTAGAAAAGAGGTGTTGAAATAGATGTAGTTCTATGTTGTGAAGGGCTTAAAAGTGTAGAATACTAAAGTTGCAACATTACCAATAAATTCCCTTTGGCATAGCAACTAGGGTTAAACGTTGCATCACAAAACCCCAAAGAAGCTTCAAAGTTTCAAAAAATTATCTAAATTTGTGTATAACAAGAATAATTACATGCCTCTCTCTATATATACAGACTTTGAAAACTCTTGATTCTGAAAGCATTGACTCCAAAAATTCGAAATTAAAGACTTTCACTTCTAAAATCCATGTAAACATACCAAAAATATATTTTAAGAGCCAATAGCATAATTTGATCCATATTATGACCCATAAGTGACCATCAGGGCCCATGTTCAGAAAAGTATAAAGTTATCTTAGGTCAAGTTTGGCTAACCTAAAAAAGTACACTTATTTCATATTTTTATCTTTTTTGGGTCACATCAATCAACATCTCCTCTCTACTTTTTCTACACATAATACAAAAAAAGTCAAAAAGTACACTTATTTAGTCTTCCTAAACTTGGCCTTAGTACCCTGACTATGAAACATTAGATACCATATAGAAAATTGATTAGATTTATAAAAAAACGGTCCTACCTAGTGCAAAAGATGGTAGATTGGTTGGTAGGTAGTCTTAGCCTGCTCTCTTATGGAGATGCTGCTGCACATGACTAGATTTATAACCTAAATAACCATAAAGTAAGATTATATTGTGACTGCAAAATAAAAAATGCAAGGTCCCTGGTCATGATTTGTAATTCAACCACTTTCTAGTTCTCGCTGCTTCTTGGAATATAATTTTTGTTGTTCTTCCTATGGACACTACAGAACAATTCTTAGTAGTTTTGGACAATGGAAGTTTTAGGTAGGAAAAATTGTATTAAAATATGATATGGCATTTGGTTTCTATGTTTAATTATATTGATGCAAGATGATAAAACCTTTTTTCATCTTTAAAAGCTATTTTGTTTGAATCATCCCATTGTGCTAATCTTACAATAGTTATCACCTTATTTTCCTAGATATTTATTGTTAAATGGTATGCTTATTATTATTGTGATATGTTCTCAAAGGTTATTTCTTATGCATTTTATGCAGAGAGGTTCATTAATTTCAAATTTGTATAGACAATCCCAATCACGGTCTTCTCAAAACCCTTCAATTCGGAGAGGCACTCAGGCTCGAGGTCCTACCTCTTCACGATTGACACAGCTGAGGAGTCGTTTACCCAGACATGTACCTAGGACATTAAATAGGATCGTCCTAGGCAATCAGTGCGCTAAAACATCAAAAAAGGTGAAAATGCCTTCGTAGTATTTCAACTCAAAAGGAAAGAAATCCTGTCTTTCCTCCAAACATGGATTTGGATATGGTATTGGACTTATATCTCTATTCCTGATTTATAATATATATATTTTTAATTCTTTTTAAGTTTCATTCTTATGGTTACCTGGATTCCTTGATATGTGGTTTGGGGTGGTGTGAATTGAAGAGACAGATAATTAAGTTGATCTCCTTGGTCTCTTATATTATTTTTCTCTTAAATCATATATTGGTTTATGAGATCATATGCTCAGAGTTCACATTCAACTTCAAATTATGTTTCTTTTTCAAAATTAATTAGTATTTTTAAATTTTAAAGGCATTTAATTTTAGACAACATGATTAACAATATTGAGTACTATGATTTTTAATCTTGAAACTCTTACAGACAAATTTGATTAAGGTTCATGAGCTTCATAGTATCCAGTTGGATGTTTGTTAATAAATGGGCAGAAAACTAGCAGTCATAGATAAGCTTCTGTTAGTTAGCTACTGCTATTGGATGTGATAAAACTGTTTTGACTCTCAATGTATGTTTTAGAGGTCATAGACAACAGAAAATGAATTTCTTAACTTAATTTTCAAATTCCATTCCCTTTCTGTTGTTTTGGTTTGGCTTTTTAAGGTTAACGAGGTATTAGATGTATGCATATCTACATGTCAGTTTCAAGATACATTTTTTTGTGGTCATGCAGAGATTTCATATATTGGAAACGTTAGAGGCCTTTAATGATATGGGAATGGCTGGTAACTTCCCTCAAGTGCAGCGTGAATTTAATGAGTAAGATACCATTTTATACTTCTATTCGTTTATCTAAAATCAACACGTTTTTAATATACAAGATATTATTTTGTATTTTCTTGTTCATTATTGACAATTATTGTTTGTTGGAAGAAGCTACTGCATGATTTTGTTATTGGGCTGTTATAGAAGTATGTCTCAGTTTTAACATCATAAACCTTGGTTAATAAAATAGTTGATTTGGATGTTGTAAGTTTGACTTGAGGTTTTATATCCAAACTTCGCAATCTCTCAGTATATTGAAGAGAAAGTTGGCTGAAATAAATTTTCCCCTGGACCTAGTAATTGTCTGCCCCAAGAAAATTTTTTAGTCTGGAAATCTGTGTTCAAGTTTTTTTATCTATTTAGTTTTAAAATTTTAAATTCTTCCACATAAGGACATGGTTGTTCCCCACCTTAGTGATGAACAAGTCTGTTCTTTTCAAGAAATGGATTTTTGCATTGTAGACTCCTAATGGAATGCTATAAGAAAGTTCCTCCAACTTTATTTATAAAATTGAAGTTTTCACAATAAACTAGTGGAGTAACTAAAATTAGTTACTATAGTAAGCATTTTTCGGTGGAATTCATATTGTCTTCCATAGTAAAAGTCACCGTACTGTTGAATCTTGTGAGCCGTTTGGAGCCAATCTTGCCATTTATCCCTTGTTCTTTCTACTTTTGAACACACTTATTACCTAGTTGCACCTAGTTAGATTTCTCAATTGAGTCATGTAACTAGGTCGCTACATTCAGTGTTAAAAATCTCAGTGATTACCACCATTTTTCCCTTTCTCATGAAACTTTTCTATATTTTACCCCTTAAATTACATTTATGGCTATCTACACGGGCTTTAAAGAAACAAAATATGGGACTATTTGCCAATGAACCACCCTTAACTGTTCTCTTTAACGTTTTTTTTAATGTTGGGAACTCACACATCTTTTGTTTGTCTCTTTTGTTTTAGGTTTTATACAAGTGTAGGCAGTTATTTCTTGTCTATTCTTTTGTTTGATTTTATATATTTTTACTAATATTTCAGGAATGACTATGAAATGTTATTGGCACTCGATGAGAATAATCACCAACATGGTGGTGCATCCCGTCATCAGATTAACATCTTGCCACAGTCGACAGTTCAGGTAATATACATTCATTAGTGAAATTGCCCGTGCTCAAAGACACTTCATTATTTAGGAAACAACACTAACTGTTAGATTTATTTAATTTTAACCCTCAACTAGCCACAGGACATTTTTCAAAAACTGATTTTTTTTTTTTTTTATGGATTAGACGTGTGCACATGTGTGTGATAAAGGCCTGAGGCAGCTAGATCCAAAGGCTCACTTGCTATTGTTTGCTGATCTGTTGTGTCTTGCAGGGTAACAATTTTGATGAGGATTGTGCAATTTGTCTTGAAACCCCAACCTCCGGAGACACAATACGCCACCTCCCTTGCTTGCATAAATTTCACAAAGAGGTAAGCGTCTTTTTATCTTTGCTACTCATTATTCATTTCCTTTTTAAACCACCAAACCTAGCATCCAACTTCTTTTCTCCCACTCTTGCAGTGCATTGACCCATGGCTTAGAAGACGAACATCATGCCCGGTATGCAAGTCATCAATCACTTGATTAGGAAGTGGAATTTTGTTGCTCCACATCTTTTTGCTGTGAACGACACCAAATCTGTGAGCAGTGGTATTCAGGGTGTCAAGGTAAAAATCACAAACACACTTGTAGTGCATTGACACTATTTTTGGCTGCAAATTTGTGATCGAAGGGAAAAAAACTACCCTTGCTCTAGTTTTGTTTCACTGGAGTTTATGGATGCGAAATCTGCTTTGGGATTAAACTGAGGATAATGTATGCATGATACTTTTTGAATTGATTTATGGTCATGTTCGAAGTAGCCTGTTGCTTGGGATTGAATCAAAACCAAGTCTTGTGCTTCAGAGCAATTGCCGAGTCATATATTAGATTTTAATGAAAGCCAATGTGTAACGGACGGCATCAAACTTGACCAACGGACTTGGCTTGTCATTGTTGGGAACCAGATGCCATAAGCAAGCTGCAATATGGAACGTTTTGTCAGGTCCATTGTGGCTTTGTCATTTTGGGGCTTCAATGGCAAGAGAACTCTCTCAACTGGTCCTCAGTCAAAATTCTACTTTCCTGTCTCACAGACATGAGCTTGGAAGTTTTAGCCTAATGAACAAATGTAATTGTATTTTTACCCATATTGATGCTTGCAATTGATGTTTATCTGCGACATATCCCTATCTTCCATTAGCGTTGCTTAGATGTTATCAACTATCATGATGGGAAAAAAAAGAAAAGAAAAGCAAGCAATTTGACCTTGTGTTTTCAATAATAGAAAATTTTCGTATATTCTTTATTGATAACTGAAAGGAGCAATGAAGATAGCAATTTCACAAATTTTTTTTTTTTTCTAAAAAAAAATTGGCTACATTTTATGGGTTTCAACTATTAAAGCTTAAATCTTTATAAATTTGAAGGAAGGATGCAATAAATAAAGTCATAATTGTAAAAATTGTGACATTATGAGCACAGTTTAACTATCTCACATTTGATATTTAGTTTCACTTCTACTGATTTACAATTACCTACAAATAAAATAGTGGTATATGTTCATGTAAGCATGTGTTGAGGAGCTGTGTTAAAAATTCTGTCCTGCATGCATACCCTAAAAAATTAGGATACAATAAAAATTGTACCACATTTATGTTTTGATTCCTTCAATTCAATGTGCTATTCAAATTAATGTGCTTGGAAATCACATAATGGTATGCACTGTACAACAAATTGACAAATCTGACAACCTGCAATATTTCACAGCATTGAAAATTTCACCAATACTCCAAATACAATCGACAACGAAGACTTTAGCCTGCAAGAATTGTGATTGGTTCAACATTTCTTGTGAAAATCGAGCTGTCCTTGGCTATCCAGAATTTAGTGTTCCCTGCCTAATGAAGAACAAAATTATATAAATAAATTTTCTTTTTTAAAAAAGTCAAACTACAGATTAAGACCACCCATTGGTGGCCTTTTGTGACACATCTATGGTCAGCCATTACAGGCCCAGGAATATTCCAGATCGTCTATGGCTAGCCAACAACTCCTTATGTATCACATTATTGAGATATAATCATACCGGGCTTAAAGCCCCACAACCCACATTATTACATTGCTTTGCTAGAGTTTCCAACCTCAGCTATGACATTGTTTGCAGTAATTTGAAAAGAATGAATGGTGGATTCTATCGAGCATCTTTCGATAGCAGGTTGTTGCTCTCAATCTTCCGAGCATTGCAGAGCTCATCAACGGAGTCACCTCTTTCGAAAACAGCAGCAGCCCCCATTCATGTGCCTGCAGTTGTGTTGCAACCAAGGGTCATAAACCATATCTTCAAGTGATCAGAACAGGAAACACAAAGAAGAGAGAATAAAATAGCTAAAGGGGGAGGAAAAGAATGAGGAGAGGACCTATGCACATCGATATGACACCAAAGCGGCAGTCTTTGCCACGACGCTTCATCTCATGCAGTAATGTGGCAACACAGCGTGCTCCTATAGCAGACAAGTCATCTCATTAGAATTCATGAAATGATAACTGAGGCACTATTATAGCATATTCATAGGTCAAATATTAAAACCCTCTGCAAGAAGATCTCAAGAATTGGGGGTGTGACATATTTACACATGTATGACAAGAATAAGAAAAAGATTGAAACAGAAACAGCTAGGTGCACCATATGGAAAGCATCATTAATAAGTTGAAATGCTTGTCAAAAATACCTGTGGCACCCAGAGGATGCCCAATGGCCATTGCACCTCCATTAACATTGATCTTTTCTGGATCAAGTTCTAGCTTCTTACGGCAATATACGAATTGGGATGCAAATGCCTGTGCAAGACCAAACCATTGGAACAGTTGTACGGTTTATAAGTTGTTACAAAAACATAAATGCTTACAGTGAGAGTTTTCTCATTTCAGAAGTCTGAAGATCATATATGCTGAAAGTAGCAAAATCTCATAATAAAATATTACATACCTCATTTATCTCAAAAAGATCAATATCATCAAGTTCAAGACCCGCAGCCTTGACGGCAGCTGGAATTGCAACGGCAGGACCAACACCCATGATAGCAGGGTCTACACCAACAGCAGCAAAAGTCCTACAAGTGCATCACCAGCTAATCTTTGAATATTCAGTAAGAACCTCGACTTTTTTCTATTCTATTTGAAGGGGTCTAGCCATGAAACAGATGAAAAGTGTGGGGGATGCAGTATTCTAAGTGTGGATTGTCACAACAGGAGCTAATATAGGATCGTCCTAGGCAATCAGTGCGCTAAAACATCAAAAAAGGTGAAAATGCCTTCGTAGTATTTCAACTCAAAAGGACAAATAATAACCAAAACTGCTTGGTGATCACAGCATAATGTCATCCAGAAGAAAAAAATTATCAATCATTTTAAATGAAAAAATATTACTTATCAGTTACACCATGACTTGAATCCTTGATCTAGATTTCTGCCCAGAAACTAGTGGAAGTATTTGCTTATGAGGTATAAACTATTTGCAAGGACAGGATTGACATCTGCCCAACGCGAATAGCTTAACCAAGCATACTTTAGATTTAATTCAATAAACATGTTCTACAAATTACAAACCTGAATACACCAAGAATGGGTAACCCTTTTTGCATTGCAAGGCTTCTCTTCATCAAGAGGACAGCTCCAGCACCATCACTCACTTGGCTAGAATTTCCTATTGTACAAGCACCAAAAGTAGTTACAATCACAACCAATATATTCCTCAATTAAAATTCACATGAGCAGCATTTTGAAATACCAGCAGTGGTCGTCCCATCTTTCTTAAATACAGGCTTCAGTTTTGCCAGATCTGACAATGTTGCATTTGGCCGAATTCCATCATCAACGGAGATCGTAACTGGTTTCTCTTCTCCAGTTTTTGGATCAACAATCTGTTTGAATAAAGTATATACATCAGTGGCATATATGCACAAACTTGTAAAAACAGTGAGTGAACAGCAGAAATAAGACATCCCAACTTTACTGAAACAGCAATCAAAAAGTTGTACCTTGGTTGCCACAGGGATTATTTCCTCTTTAAATTTACCAGAAGCAGTCGCTGCAGCAGCCTTTCTATGTGAATCAACCTAACAGCACATAGTTAAGGTAATCAATAATGTGACTGATCACATCAGAAGAATCACCCTACAGACAGATCTATCCAACTCACCGCAGCCTGGTCTTGCTCCTGCCTTGTTACATTAAAACGATGTGCAACATTTTCTGAAGTAACACCCATGGGGAGTAGACAATTTTGGGCTTGTGCCATTGTCTTGACCTAATATTATTACAGCATGGGCTAATCAGCACCTATGGAAATCCTACTAAGGAAATTCCCAAGAAAACTCATCGAAGTCCAAAATCAATACATAGAGTGAAAGAAAAAATTAGCATACTCTTGGATTGACTGATCCTTCCCATGCCATTGGGTTTGATGTCATGGATTCCAACCCAGCACCAATCCCTATTTGGAAGAGACACACATTTTAAAGAATGAAAAAGAACGGATAAGGCATCACGATTGCAAACATGTAAGGCATCCTTCAAAATATATCACTCTTACCAATATCATAAAATCCAGCTTTAATAGCTGCGGCTACATCGGCAACGGCCTGAAGACCAGATGAACACTGCCTATTCACAGTTCTAATCGGCACAGTTTCTTGGCGAAGGAGATAACAAATAAGTCAGCAATGGAAGGGAAAGAAACCAAGAATTATAATGAATGCATGCAAGGACATGTACCAGGGAAACCAGCATAAAATGCAGCCATCCTACATTCACTTGCCCTTTGAGAGCCTGTTGCCAATACTGTGCCCACAACGATGTCTCCAACTTCACTTGGGTTCAGATTTGTTTTCTCTATCAATGCCTGTACCATGGAGTCATCACATCATCAGTGTAGACTATCCTAAATTTTATCAAACCTCAATTTAGATTTTGTAGTGAAGCTAACTCAACAGATTAGAAGATCAACATAGACAACAAACCTTCAGAACAGGTGTGAGTAAATCATCAGGAAAAGTATCCTTGAAACCTCCCCTCTTTGACTTGCAAAGTGCAGTCCGATATGCGCTGTACAGAGTGAAAAGAACAAACTGTAATATATACATATATTACTTTAAATAGCGTAAAAATATTATATTTCAACAGCAGAGTTACTTACGCGACTATGACTACGTCATCCCCATAGACAGAGGTTCTATGGTATGCTGCACTATCCCCAGCAGCACAGACAGATGCCTGGATGTGAAGAATAATGATTAATCTAGTGATGAAACAAAGGATGGCCAAGACATATATGCATACTTTAGTGCATGTGCATTTCTATTAGTCATCAATTCACAATAAGAGGATAGAAGTCAACCTGACAGAGTATTCTAACAACTCAAATTGAAACCTTTATATCATATCCTACAAATTTTAACATGGGAAAAGGCTACTATGGACACCCCTAAAAAGGTGCATATGGTATGCACCTCATAATAACACCACAACAATTCATCACTTTTACCACACAATGACATAACTTTTCTCATCACAAAAAGTACAACTTTTTGCTCACAATTACAGCAAAGTGACAAAAAATTGTCATTTGAAAATTTAGAGTGCACACCATAAATTCGTCATTTATAAAATCATAACTTTCATACAATGTGCGTCTTTTAAGAGTGCACATAGTAGCCTTTTCCTTTAACAGCAAAGAATACTTAGATTATAGCTGTATGTCGAAAGGACAACCGATAAAAAAAATGGAAAGATCTATAATCAACATGACACACTAAATTAATCTCGATACACAACACAATTATCAAGAAACTCAATTTGACAGAGGAGATACGATACTCTCTTGAAATTCTGGGAAACATTTTGGATACTTTTGGGAAATGATGAAGGGAAACTTTAAAAGAAAACTTGTAAGAAACTCGACATAAACTATTTGAAATCTTAATAGATATTTTTTGGGGGATTTGGTGATAGACTCTTCACTGTTTAATTTGTGTTTCAAAAGAACAAAAATTAAATAAGAACTTTCAAAACCCCCTAATATTTTAAAACTTGTTTCTTTTACTATATTACCCTCATATCTATTAGCTCTCTTATTAAGCCATCCTCACAGTGTATTTCAAAGTAAAATTTTATTTTAAATGATAGTAAACTTTACTCTGATTCAGAGTAAAATTTTACTCTGAATCAAAGTAAAATTTATTATCATTCAAAGTAAAATTTTATATCGTTAAGCAAATCAACATGTTTTTAACCAGAGTAAAATTTTACTTTGAATCATAATAAAATTTACTATGATTCAAAGTAAAATTTTATATCGTTAAGCAAATCAACATATTTTTAACTCGAGCAAAATTTTACTTTGAATCCTAGTAAACTTTACTCTGATTTAGAATAAAATTTTATTTTGAATTATAGTAAACTTTACTCTAATTCAGAGTAAAATCTTACTCTGAAAGTACAATTTTACTATTATTATATAATTCAAATCCGCAATGAATTGATAGTAAAATTTTAGTGTCACTAGGAGTCCAAAAACAAATAACTGAAGTACACAGTTTACTATCATTGTATAAAAAAAAATAAAAAACAGAACAGATAATACCAAAGTAAAAGTTTACTCTCATTTTATCAAACAAAAATAGAGCATTTACCAGAGTAAAATTTTACTCTCATTTTATTAAACAAAAACAGAGTACAAACCAGAGTAAAATTTTACTCTCATTTTGTCAAACAAAAACAGAGCACAAACCAGAGTAAAATTTTACTTTCATTCTGTTAAACAAAAACAGAGCACAAATCAGAGTAAAATTTTACTCTCATTCTGTCAAACAAAAACTAGAGCACACACCTGATTGAACTCAACAAATCAATAAAAATAAATCAAAATCAAAAACAAAAAGACCTAATCAACATATGTCAAAGATCAAATAGTTATTACGTCTTCTATCATTATTGTGTCTTCTCTCTCTCTCTCTCTCTCTCTCTCTCTCTCTCACACACACACACACACACAGCTCTCTCCCACAAATCTTCACTATATTTGTATATCATCTCTCATACCTCCACCATCTCCATCGTCAATTGGTGTTGCTCATCGTCATAATCATCTGAAGAGAAAGTTACGAGTGATGATTTCAGATCTTGAGACAGAGAGCTTATTCCTTAGGTGCAAACAACGAAGTCATTGATTGAGGATGAATTTTTACTATTTTGATCTTCTTATCGTTTCTATGGAGGCATTTGCTACCAGATCGCCTTTGAAACCCTAGCCATGGCGTCATCATCTATGTATAAGCAATAGTTGTCTCAGACAAAACTTGAGAGGTTGAGATGGTGATTAGGGAAGATTTAGTTTAGGATATAATAGTCTGATAAAATATTTAAATAATAAATTGTCCTTTATATACGACTTTATAATTATGAGGGAGTTTTAAAAGTATAATTTTTTTCTTAATCCTTTTAACAATAAAAGGAAGATAAGAGGAGTTTATAGCCAAATTTCCGATATTTTAAGAACTCATTTTTTAGAGATTCGTAGAAATATATATATATATATATTTAAAAAAATTCTCCAAACATGTTTAATGATGTCCAAGTAAAGTGTTTTGAGAAATTTCATTAAGAGAGATATAGAGTTCTTGGAAAATATTAGCAAATATTGGAATGCTATTTGAAAACATTTAACTAGAAATGAGTTAAAAAATTTAACAAACTACATAAACTCAAAAACTTATAATCCATGGAGTATTCATTTAGGTTTCAATGAGTCTTTTAAAGGTTTGCTTTTTGTTTTACAAGATTTTCCACTAAGATCCTTTAAGGTTGTGTTTGGTTCAAGGATTTAGGGAGAGATTCGGAAAAAAAAAAATGAAAAAAAAAATGAAATATGAATAAAATATACTTACATTCATCTAATTTCACACTATGTTACATGGAGTCGGGTGCAGATATCTGTCTAAAAGTCGGATTCATCAAATCATAAATTTAAGGGTATGCAAACTTAACAAAAAAATATCATATTTTTATATTTTTAATCAAGTATGTGAGATAAAATGATACAATATGTAACTTACAGTGTCGAAAAAGACATTTATAACAATTACACAACAAAATCCAATACAAAATCCATGAACCAACCACCGCCTAAATGTTTCGGTTGTGTTCCCCGCATCAATATGCTCCTATCTATGGCCCCCGTCTGTTTTAAAAGAATCTAGTTTGGGCAAAGGATTCACAGAACAAACATGAAACAGAGAAACACCCAAATTTTGATCAGTGAGTCCGTATAACCTCAAGCCCTTTTTTGTAAGTTTAATAATTAAATACACAGATCAGTACACTCAAATTGAAAATTTTATTTTCTTGTACAAATTGATCAAGATGAAATTTTTAAAAGAAAATGATAGGAAAATTTAAGTTTAAAGCTTGGAAATCATGAAAGTAGCAAGAGAGAGAGTGTTTTCTTGGGTCCAGAGAGAGAGAGAGAGAGAGAGAGAGTGTTTTCTTGGGTTGGGAAAAATTGAACACTGAGTATAAATGATTGGCGAAAATGGAAATCCACATCAAGTCTTACACTTTCCTGTATTCCCCTGCGTATTTTACAAGGAAAAAAGAGGGGTTGTACGGGAAACTTAAATGTGAAAACTTTCACTCTAAAAACAAACGTGAAAAAAAAAAAGAGTTGTTTTTCTTTTCTTTCTTTTTTTTCTTTTCTTTCTCTTTCCCACACTTTTTATCACTCTCGCGCTAATCAAACGCACCCTAGAAGATATCCAGATTCAACAACTAGAGCATATATCAAATCAACTTCACCAAGTTCAAGCTACGAATAAAAACCAGACCTCAAACCAAACTCTCAAAATCCAATCCAATCCAATCCAATCAAATTGTGACGAGTCAAATCAAATCAAATCAAATCGGTGGGGAAAAAGAAAAAAAAATGGAGATTGGGGACTTACTGAAAGAGAAGATTCGATGTTCTCGAGGGAAGAAGAGGTGGAAGAGGGACGAAGGTGCTGGAGCACAACTCTCTGTCTATCGATTGCTTTCTCCATCTCTATCTCTATCTCTATCTGTCTCTCTACGAGTAAGGGTGTGACGGCAAGAGTAGAAACAGAGAAGAGAGAGAGATACACAAGTGTGTGTATATAAACTGACTAGTGGGTGTGTGTAATTTAAATAAGGAAAATTTATCCATAAGTACTAATTTTTGAAACGTTGAATCATTTAGTTCTAAAAGTCTTCTTATATTTCATTTAGTTCTATTTTTACATTAGTATGATGTAAATGATGTAAATGATCTGATGTTTCATTCTATAATTTCAAAATTTATTGAAATCTGATGAACATTAGATGTTTTTCATCCTATATTTTCAAACATTATTGAAATTTGATAAACATTAGATGTTTGAAATCCAATGTTTGTAACATGACTCTGATGTTATTAACATTGTATCTGATGTTATTAACATTGTAATGGGACCTTTCAGTCTATAAGAAAACTTTTAGGACTAAACAGTGCATAAGTTATTAATTTGGGATTTATTGGTGCATCCCCCAAAAAAAAAAAACAAAACAAAACAAACTTGGATTGTTGAGAAAATAGCCAAACATAAAGGGGCAAAAGTATAATTTATTTATTTTTTTATATTATGACCTTTTCGCGAGCAAAAATCGAGTACTACTCAGACACAATATCAACCACTCTCTCTCCACCACAAAATCTAACCCCCCTTCTCTCTCCTCGATCGCCGGGTGTTCGCCGCCGGTATTGATTTCAACACCGCAAACGAAAGGCCGGTGCAAATTTTCCTCCATTATCGAAGGTATGGATCATCTCTGAACCCCCAATTTTAGGGTTAGGGTTCGACTATTTGATTCATCTATGAAACTCTCATTATCAACTTGAACAACCTTTTGTTGTGATCGATTGGTTTTTGTTGATTGTAAGTGAAATTTGTGTGAAACGATGTTTGTTTTTTTGTGAAATTCCGGTGGATTTTAAGTTCTAGGGTTTGGTTTTGCAGGCAATGTGGGTTTTGTCTTTCGCTTGCGTGGGTTAAGCTCGCTCGGGGTTTTCGTCATTGGTACTTTCGAACACTCTTGTTCTGAAAGGTGTTGTATTTCGCTGCAATCACACTCATTGAACTCGAAACTGCAAAATGGTTTGTTCTAAATCTTTTATGAAACTTAAAATAACGATCTTTTATTAGTTTTATTATTTGATTGTTGTGATGATGATGATGATGACAGTCTGTGTGTGTCGTGATAATGATATATAAATTATGTTTTTTAAGATTTTTTATAAAAATAATTTAACAATCTTATCACTAACCATAGTGTATGAGAGAAGTTGAAAATGGTATTGCAGTAATTATATACAGATTGTATCTATAATTATTTGTATGAGGGGATTTTAAATGCAGATTAAGGGATTTTGACCAAATCAATAAATGTAGGCATGTGAAAATATATGTGGATTGAAAAAAGTTAATAAATGCTGATCAGGGAATTTTGACCAAATTAATAAATGCTAAGTTTTTTTTTTATAATAAAAAATTTAGAAAAATCAGATTGGGATATTGAAGCTTCCACAGGTCTTGGGGTTAAAAACCCCATTTTGCTTAATATATAGTATAGATATAGATATAGATATAGATAGATAGATGTAGGTATAGATATAGATAATATAATATAGATAGATAGATGTATTGAAATTTTCAAGGAATTTTGTTTATGCTCGTCTTTAATGCATTAAAGTTTAATTATGAGGGAGTTTTGACCAAATCTCCCAAAAGGCATGGGGATTGGGAGAAATTAACAAATGTTGAGTTTTTTTTTTTTTAAATCAAAAAATTAGAAAATTAAGATTAGGATATTGGAGCTTCCACAAGGCTTGTAGGTTAAAAACCCCATTTTCCTTAGATAATTGTGTTTACAATTATCCATATATGTGAATTGTGATTTTTAAATGTTTTTTTTTAAATGACTTCTTTTTTTCTTTTTTTATATTATATTAAAGTTTAATATTTTGATAATAATCATATGTGTTGGACTTTTCAAGAAATTTTTTTTATGCTTGTTCTTAATGCATTAAAGTGTTATTATAAGGGATAATAATCATATATGTTGGGACTTTTCAAGGAATTCATATGTGTTGGATTTTAAAGAATTTTTTTTATGCATGTTCTTAATACATTAAAGTGTTATTATGAGAGTAAGACTTGGGGGTTGGGAAAAGTTAATAAATGCTAAGGTTTTTTTTTTTTTAAATCAAAAAATCAAAAAAATTAGATTGAGAGATTGGAGCTCCCACAAGACTTAGGGTTTTTAATATTTTAATAATAATCATATGTGTTAGACTTTTCAAAGAATTAAATGTCTTTTTTTTTATTATATTATATTAAAGTTTAATATTTTGATAATAATCATATGTGTTGGACTTTTCAAGAAATTTTTTTTATGCTTGTTCTTAATGCATTAAAGTGTTATTATGAGGAATAATAATCATATGTGTTGGGACTTTTCAAGGAATTCATATGTTTTGGATTTTAAAGAATTTTTTTTATGCATGTTCTTAATACATTAAAGTGTTATTATGAGGTAAGACTTGGGGTTTGGGAGAAGTTAATAAATGCTAAGGTTTTTTTTTTTTTTAAATCAAAAAATCAGGAAATTTAGGTTGGGAGATTGGAACTCCTACAAGACTTGGGGTTAAAAATCCCATTTTGCTTAATATATAGTATAGATGATAGAGATCCACGCATATATGATCTCACAACTTCACTCTCATTCCAATCATTCATAACTAGCATATCACCCGTGCTATGCACGGATTATATTTACAATTGTCTATATATGTGAATTGTGATTTTTAATTTTTTTTTAAATGTCTTCTTTTTTTCCTTTTTTACATTATATTAAAGTTTAATATTTTGATAATAATCATATGTGTTGGATTTTTTAAAGAATTAATTTTTTTTATTATATTATATTAAAGTTTAATATTTTGATAATAATCATATGTGTTGGATTTTTCAAGAATTTTTTTTATACTTATTCTTAATGCATTAAAGTGTTATTATGAGGGATAATAATCATATGTGTTGGGACTTTTCAAGGAATTCATGTGTTGGATTTCAAAGAATTTTTTTTATGCATTAAAGTATTATTATGGGGTAAGACTTGGGAGTTGAGAGAAGTTAATAAATAGTAAGATTTTTTTTTTAAATCAAAAAATCAAGAAATTTAGATTGGAAGATTGGAACTCCCACAAGGCTTGGGGTTAAAAACCCCCTTTTGTTTAATATATAGTATAGATATGAAGTCTACATATAATAGACTCCACATACACATCAAGGGCCAAATTAAATTAGGAATCATGAAACCCCCCCAAGAAATAGGTCCCAAACATTTCTCTTATGCATAAGTGATTTGGAAGTTCGATAAAAATTAAATTTTTGGTTTTTTTTTAAAAAAAATTATTTATATTTTTTTGTGTGTAATAATTATGAGAAGTGATAAGATTCAAAATTGGTTAGCTAGCTTCCCAAATGCTTCAAAGTCTAAGAGCTCGTTTGTCAACTATACATTTTAATCAAAAAGTCACTATAAATTATCAAATCACTCTCTTTACTTTTTTGTACATCCTTTCGAAAAAAATCAAAAAATTACTAAAATAGCATATTTCCAAACGAGGCCTAAGAGGTTATTAAATTTGAGTATGTGTTAGACTATTTAGTATAACTTTTGCTTATAACTTATTAGGTATAAATAATTTAAATAAGTTGAACGAACGTATTATTTAAAAATTGATAAAGAAATACTTTTGATTTTTGGTTTCTAATTATTAGATTTAACTTTAAAAAAAAGTTTTACTAAACATAGCCAATATATTTCCTTTTCTTTTCTTTTGGTCCAAATTTTATTTGGGATAAATTACACTTATTTCTCTTTTGACGTTGAAAAAAATACAATTAATTTACATTTATAATTAAACTGATATCACTTTCAGTATGACTAAAACAATTAAGACTAATATAGATCGTAATGGTCTCACTTAAATAAAAATATATAAATATATATTGAAAATGTTAAAAATAACTTTTAAGACTATTATTAGCATTAACAAAGTGTTTTGAAAAAAAAGAAATATTCAAGTGTTTTGAGATATGTGAAAAGTATATTAAGATCATAATTTTTTTGCTATTTTGTAGTGTTTATGTCACACCCTTAAAATTATCATTAACAAAATCCTAATTTACCCTTTTATTTAACTATCATGTGTTGTAATAAAAATTATAAGTGAGATAACATGAGAAATTACATGTGAAAATTGGAGATAAAATATTTTGCTAATATCTTTACAACTTTTTTTACATAATAGAAGGCAGTATAGGACAATAATCTATGTAGCTGTCTTTTAGGACAGTAAGAAGGCAAAGGTTTCGAGTTCTAGTCGATGGAGCAACTATGACCTTTTTGTTGCAATCTAATTTACTAATCCACTAACATTCTTTTGTGTGGTAAAAAAAATTAATAGAAGGGATCCTGTACAATTAATTCATAGAAATTTCCTTTCATTTATTGGCATTTATTTATCATCAAATTTTTACTTGTTTATTAGATTTGACTAATCCTTAAATGATTGATTTAATATAGACATTTTCAATTTTACATTTTAATTATTTTTTTTAAAAAAAAATCTCAGCATAGTCAAAAAAGTCTATTTTATTCACTTATATGAAAGAAAACAATCTGCAATTAATTTTTTGTGGGAAAAAAAAAATCATTAGATTTCAATAAAAAAATATGATAGCTATAAATTTGATGAAGGATTTAGAATTTTTTTGATTTGATATAAGTTTGATGAAATAATTAAAACTTATTTTTAATTATTTCCCATCAAATTTAAAAGAATGATTAAATGAAATATTGGAGATGCTTGTATAAATGTTGTTTGCCACAAGATATTTTTGACATTTTTTGTATATTTTTTTTTTGGTGTTTGATATAATGAAAAACGAAAATGTTTAGCAAACATTTTTCATGGTAAACAGAAAAAAGCATATATGAGTAGAAAATGTTTTCCACTTTTAAAAGATGGAAAACGTTTTTCGAATTAAAATTTTACTA